GGAAAAGATACATACTTTCCAAACCAGAGATTGAGGCAGATAATGAAAACTGCCATACCTCAAGGGGGTGTGCTGTATACTCTGTCAAAGAATGTTGAAGAACATCTAGTCCATTAGCTTTAATATGCCTGAGGCAAATGACAGGTAACCCGGAGAATCAGAAGGGGGGTGGGGTGCCATGTCTACTTGAGGCTTTGATAGTTAAACAGGCTGCAGAAATGCTATATCCCTCCAGACAACCAGAGAGGCTGCAAGAACAGCAGGGACCATATCACATCCCATGCTGGCTGTACTCACTAAAGCAGCCAGCAGTCCACAGCATTACCCACTGAGTTAAGGACTGCAGACAGTCAACACAAAGTGCTGTGGCACATACATCATGTTGGCAGATTTCTGATGTTCTGTTAATTCATTTTCCATGGTCTAAAGAAATCATGGAATAGAGAAGCAACTGAGCTAGCCTGCAGCAGAGATGCTACACAGTAGTTATGGGACAACGGGTCTCTTTGTGTGTTTAAATATCTGAACTGTAATTCCTGGATGCTTGACCAACTGGGTGTTAATTTTGACTTCCAAATCTTTTCCACTGGTGCTTGACCAACTAAGGCATTAACTCTGACTAAAGAATTTTTTTTTTTTTGATGAGTGATTTTTTTTCATTCTTAGATTTAACACCTTGGATTTTAAAAGCACTTAAAATGTTTTTTTTTTTTTGTGTATAGAGAAAAGCAGTAAGATTTAATTTTTTTTCTGTAGTTGGCTAATACCATTTTCACTAAGAATCAAAGTGGTTTTAAGTTATTTGTCTATGAATAATCACTAGCATTTATCAGTTAAGACTGTCTTATAAACAATTTAGGATGCCAACTACTAGGAACCATTAATAATTATAGCATTACACTGAAGTTAAACAAGCCTATTTTAAACAAGACTATTTATGTAGCATATATGTTGAAACAACTCTTCAAAGAGGCCTGGGAAAAATCTCTCAGAAACACTGTTAAACTTTAATCTTAGCCAAGGTTCATGGTGCCATCAAGACTCACTTTCTCAGTGTCTGTAGTCATTCATTCACAAACAGTTAACCAACATGTTCCACATCCATCAAAGTTCTTCAATAGCCTGGGCTTGTGTTTCCAAAGATCTTAAAGAGCAAAACATTAAGCCGAAGAGCAAACACATTACAATGGAACATAACCTACATTAATTCCCTCAAGCATGCGTATAGAGACCCTTCATAGGCAAAGCTTATGATGTAGGGGCCTCATCCGAGAATGCTGAAGAAGTGTTATGAGATCACTATCTCAGGCAAACTATCAGAGTCGGGATAGGAATGACTAGTGTTTGAATCTGCACACATCTCTCAGAATTTTCCATTTTTGTCAATGAACTCAACCTGCTTTAAAATTTACAACAGCAAAGCCACACAGGAACAGGACCCTATATCCATAGTACATAACACAGTGAGGCCAATGGCTGGGTCAGCTCCCTCTCAGCACCAGTCACTAGTAATCAAAGCAATGAATGCCTTAACCTGCCTCTAGCACTAGCAAGTCTGTCTTTCACTGTTTCTGTTTTGCCAATCTCCTCAAATAATAATTATAGCTAACCAATAAAATTATTTTTACTTGAAAATGAGAATAAGGGAAAATATCAAAGGACACAGCTCCTCAAGCAACCTAACCAATAACATTTCTTTAGGTTTTATAGGAACCCAGAACATCTGGAATGCCTGAGGACAGGTGGAGAACACAGAAACCTCATGGAAAGAATTGGTTATTGGATGAATTAGTGACCATTCTGGTACTCACCTGGCCCTGACTAAAATTAGACTCCCTAGAAATGCCATAGCATCTTTGTACCTGTGGCCCTGGCAGGAAGGAATCTAGGGCTGCATCTGGCCTGACATCATACTGGCAGCATCCAGGTGGACAAGGGAGGGGATCACTCCTCGACAACTAGGCCCAGGAGCACTTCCATCAGATATCCACCTTCATGACTGGTGAAGTCTGCTCCAATGTGGCACCATCACCAGTGGGCTAGTAGTCTGAATTAATTTGAAATTCAGGCTCCCAACTATGTATCCCCAACCTCTACCAGCTGTTGAGGAATGTGGGGTGTGTATGAGAGCTGCTGACAAGATGAAGGTACAAACTCATGCTTGTGGACAGAACAAATCTGAGTTCAAATCCTAACTCCGCCAACTCCTCGGGCAACTTCTACACATTATTCAACTGCTCCACTCTAAAAGAAAATCTCTATCAACACAGGATATTGTCTACCAACAACCACTGACATTTACTAATCACTCACTCTAAAAGCTGTCCTTACAGCATCTCATCTAAGCCTTGTAACAATCATCTTCACAGCCTTCCAAAATCCTTCCCCATCGTTCAGTCTGGGCAGTTCTGACTCCATATTAGTTTCGACCCTCTGGATGTCAGAGAAAATGTGTCTGTAATAGACAAACTAAATCAACATCAACCACTGATATTCACTAACTTTTAGCCAGTAATGTCCCCCAGCAGACATTCTCAAGGGCATGGGCATGGGCATGGGCATGGGCATGGGAATTAAACCACAGGTAAGAAAGTTGGATTTTGTGCAAAGAATCACAGCAGTTTAAGGACCATGTCCACTCAGCAATGGATTCTCATGCTGCAAACTCCTGCCCTTCAGGGAGAGTGCTGGATGGAGATGTGGGCCCTGCTACCTCTGGCGCCACCTTCCATGCAGACCTGCCCCATAACTCAAGACAATCTTGTTCATGTTCCAGTTCTCAAGATCAGCTCTGACTATGGGCTCTTCAGCAATCATTCAGGACAGGGTGAAGCTCTTATCCATTAAAGACACACACACACACACACACACACACACAAAACTACTGATTTCTACTTGACATGGTGGTATTAGTCTGTTAAAAATGATAAGCTACTACCAAACTATTAATACTGGATATTTTAGACATATCCAGTCAAATGACTTACCACTCAGAATCCACTCACAGATTATATATACCAAAGTCCATGAAATGTTTAACAAATTAACCGTGGTCAGCTAAACACTAAGTTTGAACTTTGCACAGATAAAATATCTTTGTAGACACATATAGTTAATAAGTGATGTTTATAGTTTACATATCAACAGAATCCTAACAATGAATTTTCACTTTCTAAAAAACTGCTTTAAAACAACCCAAACAAAAGACTTACTATTACGGACTTCTTAACATGAACGTCAAAGCCAAAAATTGGCCCTGCCCATGATTCTACACAGCTTAAAGGCACCTTGTCACTTCTGCGTCGACATAGAGACACATACCTTAATTCATTCTAAGGTACTTAAAAGCAATAAAATTAGGTGGGTTTGCTTCATAGGTGACTGTGGCCTGGCTGTTTTCTTAGCTTTTTTTGTAGGAAGTTAAGGAGGGACAGGGGTGTTTCCTGTCAGTAGCTGCTCTGCATATCTCATGGGGATAAAACTTTTACAGAAAACTAAGTGCACGCTCCTCTTTCTACAGACCCTGACCTTGTAGCGTACCTGCCACATAGGTTACAGTGAAGCTCATCTACTGGTATTTCCCTTTCATAAGCATTCATGCAGATAAAATCCTGTACCCTTTACCTAACCCTAACCCTTGCTGGAGCAATCCAGAACTGGATGGGAACTAAGATTCTTCTCAAACACCATTAGTTATACAACTGGGTCACCTGCAGTCTTAAGGGGAGGAAGGGCCTGTCTGAGGTCCCAAAACTTCCTGAGGGTGGGGTGGGGGGGTGCTCTATTGGTCCTCCAAACAGTTCTCTCATTCAGCAAGCCTGAGTCTGACACTGTGAGAGCCACAAAATCCCCTTTTACCTGTATGCCTCTTTCCTCCTTCCTCCTCTGCCTGGAACATGGACAGAGGGAAGAAAATCTAGAGACATCCAACTCAAAATGTAGAGCAGAAGAGGGACCAGAATGGTGAGAAGGGGCTAAAGAAAAGGCCCTGCGTAAGTGCCCAAACTCTGAAGTCTGGCAGAGCTGGGCTTTTCCATGCCAGCTCTCAAATCTTCACTGAGGACCTGTTGGTGGAGGCAACTGCTTGGTGTTCTGTATATGAGGAGACATGTTAAGCAAGATAAATATAGGTCCTGTGCACATGGAAAGAATAAAACAAGTGAACACAATTTATTTCAACTAGTGCCAAAACAAACACAAGGGTAATGTAATAAAGTGTAGGTGTGACCATACTTTTGACAGCACACCAAGGAAAAGAATCTTTGTGAGGAGATGGCATTTAAATCGATACTCATGGCCCAGCTCACCCCCTGGCCAATGTGTGATTTTATGGCAGGCCACTCAACTTCCGAATCTCAGTTTTCGAATCTGGATAATGGAGACAATACTAAGGACTTGGCAGAATTGGCAAACATTTAAGTAAGAGATCTAATTCGGCAGGCACACAGTAGATTGTGTGGTCATTTTTCTAGGAAGGCTGGAGAACTGAGATGCACTGAAACTCAAGGTGAGAGGTGGGTGCAGGATCACGCATCTACTTGGGGGCATAGCGGTTCCCTGAAGAGCTTAAGAACTCCAGAGCAGATCCCAGGTGGTGTCCTCTCTGACCTCCGGGTCCAAGAGGCTAGGAGCCACCTGGCCACCTGGCAATTGCGCGCGCCCATCCCCTGGCAGCCATCTTGGGTGCTTCCACCCAGCAAGTTTCGTCACGCGGTCGCAGGGGACAGTGTGGCAGGGTACATGGAAGCGTGGCCAGTTGCACCCCTTCCCACCCGGGGTGAAACCCACTCCACTGCCGGGACGCTAGGACCTCGGAAGCCTGGGGTGGGAAGTGCAGGCTGCGGGCCGCCTGTTCCTCTGGGCGCAGAGACCAGGCCCGCAGCATCCCCAGCCCTGGTGCAGATCTCCGCCGGGTCCTCTGTGCAGCGCTGCTCCCGTGCGCGCCCCCGCCGGCTCCCTGCGCGCGCCCCACAGCCCGTCCTGCCGCCCACCGCACTCACCGCCTCCCCGGCCGCCGCCCGCGCTGCTCGGTCCTGCTCAGCGCCGCCTCCCGCAGCCGGAAGCGCCGCGGCCCCGCGCACCGCCCCCAGGAGCGCGGCCCCGACGCGCGGTCCCGACGCTCGGCTCTGGTGGCATCTGTCATGCTCTCGGGTCGCCCCAGACCTGGCTGCCCAGCTCCCCGGCCCACGCACGACCCCTCGAGCCCGCACCTCTGCTCTGGCTTGGTGCCTGGCTCACTGACTCCACTTTGAACTCCCGGGTTCATCCTCTCCGTGGCCCGGTCAATGCCACTGTTTTCCAGTTTGACTACCCTTAAGAGACCACTCCTTAATATTTGCTTTATACGCAGGGCCTTTCACAGAGGCTGGTCCAGTGGCTCGCTCTTTCATTCATTTAGGCTAGTATGGCGCTTGGCACGCCGGCGATACAAGGAAATTTAGATGGTACGTGTGCCACAACCTCATTTATACCTTAAAAATAGTCAGTTGCTGCACTGAGAACAGGCCATACTAGGAAATCACACAGGAGGCCTTTTCTGACTCCTGTGTGCTTAACCAGGAAGAATGTTGCTGACCTTAGACCAGGCTGGTCCAAGTGGGAGGGTATCCTGCACTCATTTTGAAGGCAACCAAAATCTGATGGTGAATTACATCATGTGGACAGGTAGAAACATTCCATTTTTAAAGACCCAAATTCTCAAATAACAGAAGTAATGAGATTCCAAACAGAATTCGGAGGCTACTCTGTGTGTGTGTGTGTGTGTGTGTGTGTGTGTGTAATCTGACAAGATGACTGTAAAACGTATATGGGAAAATAAACAGCCTGAAACAGCCAAAACGTTTTGAAGGAGTGCCTTGTCCTACAGTTACAAACTTTGGCATAAACCAACGGTAAATAAGAAGATAGCATGTCTGTATAAGGATCAAGCAGACTTAGAGAAATAGCCAGATGTGAAGGAGGATTCCTGTGAAGAGGCTGGGTCTGCAAAGGCTGCTTGACTGATTAAAACTTCAGTGAAGTAGACAGTGTGGAATGTTGCGAGCCTGTAGCCAAACTGTCTTGGGCCATCTTTAGCCCTGTTAGTAGTCATTTATAGCCCTCGGTGTATCAGGAATAACATCCTGTGACACACACGTAAAATCCTTTGGAACGTATGAACAGAACCCCAGTTTCCACCAATCCAAGGACTAAGAATGCTGTCAGATAGCATCTAAGGCCTGTAGCAGAATTCTCCCCTCTTCACTATAAGCTGCCTCTCTGATGTCTCCACCAATGTGTTTGAAAAGTGTCTTGATTTGTGACTTTCTTTGTTCTGTTACAACAAAAACTTCATGAAACTGTTGCCACATTGGAACATGGAATTTGGGATGCCTAAATCTGTGTTCCTGGGCCATGGTCACTCATGTTTGGCTCAGAATAAACTAGCTCTTATGTCCTTTGAATTAAAAGTTGTGTTTTTGCATCAACGTCGACATTATGCTGATGCAAAAAGGGAACTGACTCCTGTCAGGGATTTTGTACAATGTAAGCCTGGTCCACAAAGCTCCTGAATAGCACCAAAAAGGAGCAGCATTCCTTTTAGGTGGAGAGGGGAATGATGTCATTGAGCCTGCCAATCAGATTAACCACCAATGGGTTTTAAAGAGCTACTGGCTGTGAATACCATGTGACCAGCTCTTCAAGTTTGTGCTGCTTTGACTTCCAGTATGATGAACTGTACCTTTGAACTGTGTGCTGAAATAAACCCTTTCTCCCTTGGGTTGCTTTTTCCCAGAGCGTTTTATCACAGTAACAGAAAAAGAAACCAAGAAGAGTTCCCAAATAAATAGCTGGTCTAAGTCACCACAACCCATGCTCTCCCAAAGATGATTCATCTGTGTCTGCCTTGTGCTCAGTAAACTTGTCTTTTTCTACTTTTCTGGTTTGGGTGAATTCTTTCACTGCCCTCCAATCTCCCACCATAGATGTGGCTCCTGAATTTGAGAATTTGCCACCAGTTGTATCACAAGACAGGAAGAAAGGTTAGATATTCATGCAACATACTGTGAACAAATGAACCACTGCATTAGACAACACAAAACTAAATCAACTGCAGGCACATTGAGGACCCCAACATGAAAAACAAAACTTTGAGCAGTATTTCACAGACATTTTGGATGGTATTCCTTGTTCTCAGAATTCCTGCAAATATTTGATCTGACAGACTCAAAAGGAAACAAAAAACACAACAAAACACAAAAGGACCCTTCAAAAAGCTCATGAGCAAAGAAAGAGATGTGTAAACAAGTACTTAAGATAAATGGTAATAATTCGGTATCAACTTGCAACAGTGTAAGTGGGAAATGTAGCTAAGTGCTAATGCAAGGCAGATAGGAGTGACCAGGTTGGTGCAGGGCAGGAGGCATAGTAGATCCAACCCTGGCCATTTTCTGTTGCCACAGTAAACACATCCTAATCATGGGGGCTGGATAGATGGCTCAGAGACTAAGCGTACTGGCTGCTCTTGCAGAGGACCTGGGTCCGATTCCCAGCACCCACATGGTGGCTAACAACTGTAACTCCAATTCTAGAGGAATCTGATGCCCTCTTCTGACCTCCTCAGGCATTGCATGACACAGGTGCACTTACATACATGTAGACAATACACCCATACACATAAAATAAAAATAATCAATTAAAATAACACATCATAACCAAAAATCCCCAGGCTACACAGTAATAACTGTTTATTCGATTCCCAAGTCATGAGTTGGGTGGGTATTGAGCTGTGCTCTGCTAGGTTTACTCATGTACCCATGAATGACTGTGGACCACAGGTGGCTTTGCTGGTTGGTGCGTCTGAGGTCTTAACTGGAACAATTCTTTGGCTTTCCTTTGTTCCACAGTTCCCTTTCCTCCACAGGTGGTCTTGGGCACTTTGCAGAACAAAGGACTAGAAGACGGAGGGGAGACAGTAGAGGTCAGGACTGAGAACTGTACACCTGCATCTTTGCTATGTCTTATGGGGCAAAGCAAGTAACAAAAGCTCACCTAGGCAGAAGGAAAAGATTTATCTCTTCATGGTAGGCATTGTCAAGGGATATCATTCATATGAAGAACTGGGGATGCCCCCAAATTCTGTCATATGTGTCTTTGTCTTTTCAGCAGCTTGATTCTTCTGGGGGTACACCACTCTCTCTTTCATTTGATCTGGTCAGATTATCACTCACAGGGATTTATCCTCTCAGTCTCACCTCAGTCACGGTCTATGACCCACAATGGGTCAAACAGCCCTGTTCTGCATTTGTACGTAGACACTGGGAAAGAGATGCCACTTCTCTGCTGTACATGAACACCGACTGAAAGCGAAGAGGATGCAGGTCGAGGGTACTAAGTTGTCCCTTTTTCCAGTCTGTGGAAGTGAAACAGAAAGAAAGGCCAGAGGACATCTCAAGCCTCAGGCCCAGCCCAATCCTGAAGCTAGATCTACCCGGTCATAGGACACAAGCTATGCCTCCTCCCACCACTCACTTAGGCCTTTCGAATTGGATTTCTAGCCCTCATTGACTGGGGGTTCATAGAGATAGCAAAATTTATACTGAACAGAGCTGAATTTGAAAAGGTAGAAAGCAGGTGGACAAAGGAAGAAGAAATAAAGGGAGGGCTTAAAACGTGAACTCAAGTGTACGTGTTTTCATCGGTGCTTCAAATAAAGATATTTTTTCAAAGGAGCTTTCAAGGAACTGAAATGCTGCTTTGCTTGATATTGAAAGTCAATGTTAGGGCTTCTTGCTAGGCTAGCATTGTTGAAGGCTATGAAAACTTTGCATTTTAATAGAGACTTAGAGCCTTGAGGGCACAGTACAAACAAAACACTGCTGAAGTCCCTAAGGAGAGGGACACATTTTTGAGCATCATAAACGTTTAGTGAGCTGAGCAAAGATCTTGCTGGATGCATTATATCAAGGTTTCAGTATAGTGGATACACAGTGAACCAGCCCTTTGCATTTTGAAAGTTTTTAATGAAAACTTTATAAATTCTGGATTATATTATTTCCCAATGTGTTTTGATAATAAAAGAAATACATGATTATATAACCTCGGTAAGTATAGAAAGCACAGGTGCATACTCAGCACTTCTCCCCAGACTCCCCCATAAGAGTTTTTAGTATGTTTCTGTAAACTGAAGTTACTAGAAAGAAAACAAGCCACCCCCATGTTAAAGATTCTGTGTAAGGCCAACTAACTCTTTAGGACTTTGTGAATGCACAGAGTTGGAATGTTGCAGATTTAGAGCCAAATTATCTTTAGTCTCTTCAATAGTCACTCATTGTCCATATTAGGTAAAACTTTTCAGAATGTCATAAAACAGCATCCGAGGCCTGTAGCAGAGCTCTCTGCTTTGCTGTAACCTGCCTAACTGATGTTTGCGTCAGTGTATTTGAAAAAAATGCCTTGATTTATTTGATTTATGACTTTGTTGTTGTTGTTGTTCTATAATTGTAAGAACTTCTTAATTCTGCCTCCACATTGGAATATGTAATTTTGGGCAAATTGGATCAGTGTTTCTGGGCCATGGGTACTTATATTCGGCTCAGAATGAAGAATCTCTTATTCTCTTTCAGGTGAGATGTGGTTAGCAGGACACTGGGCTCCAGGGAGTGTGGATTACTGAAAACTGTTGTATAATAAACTTAAAATTAACAGCTGTCAAAGAACCGCTAAATAAGAAACCCTTTATTTGTTTATGTATGCAGTGCTGGGGATTGAACAGAACCCAGGGCCTCACACATGCTAAGCAAGTGCTCCATCAGTGAATGGTACCCAGTCCTGTAAAACAACACATTAAAAGGAGAAACTTGGGTTTTTGTTCAGTTTTATGTCTCCGTTGTCAAGCAGGACATCTGGTGGACTCACTATCTGCTTGCAGAATATGGGATTAGCCTCCGGGTGCATGTATTTCAGGTTCTGCTTTCTTCCCTTACAGTTACAGCTCACCATTATTCTTTATTAATCATTCATGCTTTTATTCAGTTAAGTGCTTTTGGCAAAGCATCCCCTAATGCTCTTCCAGGTTCTAGAGAATCTGCCCTGGATAGAGCAGATTTAACCGTG